GCTTCTGCAAAGGCACGGGGAGGGAGGAAAAGGAGAGAAACACCAGTCTATCCTTGCAACACAGTAGCAGAGGAGGGCTGGGAGAAAGGCTTACAACCTTGGGCTTTGCTGTGCCTCTTGACTAAATCTAGATCCAGGACAGAGGCAGCCTCCTGCCCCAGGTCACACAGGAGCTACCTGGGCAGACAATGGAGACTGGGATGCTGTGGAAGGTCAGAGTTCAACAAAGCAAGGCACGACCCTCTCAATGCTATTAAAGTTACACTTATTTTTAAACCCTCTCCAGAGCTCGGCATTGACGAGGACTGTGGCACCGAGAAGGCTCCTGATCATCTGCCACAGCAGCTTAGGATAGCAGGTTCTGCGTTGTGCACATCAGTAACCCCTTCTGAGACAAAAAGCCTCAGTGTGGGCTCAAGTGGGCCCTGGCAGAGACAAGGCAGCCCACTGTGACCCTGGGCGAAACTTAATTGCTCTCTGGGACAGCATGGATTTCTCAATTCAGCAGAAACTCTATTTAACAACATCTGGAGTAAAAGTAATGGTGAGTGGGGGAGAAATGGGGACAACACCCCTGCTGAACTCTGTGCTGAGACCTACTTCACCCTGTCTCCCTCACCTATCCCACCAGGGGCATGGCAGCTCCCAAGGGGCGAATTCCTCTATAAAGAAATGTTTTAGTAACGTGTTAAATGACAGCCTAGAAAATCACTGAAACCTTGGGATGTGCTGCCCAGTTCCTTAGGGAACTCTTCAAGTCAGCCCTCCCTTCAGTAATGGCACCAACTTTTCCCCAGGGACCTTAGTAAACCTCCCCAGCAGGTTGCAGTCCTGGGACACTGGACCAACAGCTGGAAAGCCTGTGTGGGACCTACCTAGGCTGTCTGCATGTGGGGTCTGTTTGTGGGAACCCGAGCAGTGGGATCAGGACCTGTCCCTGGCACATGAGCTGGTTTATGGGAACCTATTCCCCATGCTGGGTGGCCTCGCCCAGCTTTGATGCAGGGGGAGGAGCTAGACCCTGCCTCAACTTGATAGCCATGCTTTGTTGACTCCCATGGGAGGCCTGCCCCTTTCTGAACAGAAAGAGAGGAAGGAGGGAAACTGTGGTTGGTATGTAAAATAAATCAAAAATCTAATCAAGAAAACAAGTGCTCGGAGAACACAGACAATGTGGGGCTCCTCAGAGTGGACAGTAGGGGTTGTTATCTTTCTGCTCTCTATCTGGTGTATGCAGGGGAAGTCTGGCATCCCCATGTGCCACACTGGTACAGAGTCCAAAATGGATAAAAAGTGCCCACTTTCCATTGTCCCACTTTATGCCTCAGAGGGGCTGCAGGCCAAAGTGGGGAGGGCACGTTCAACCTGCTCTCATTCAAGTCCACTCTCGGATCTGCTCAACTGCCATGAAGTTGGACATGTAACGGCACTGACAGCTGCAGAGTGTGTGTGGGAGCAGGCACTGTCCCAAGTAGACCAACACTGCAGAACCCTGAGGACGTAACGGCATATTCGGAGGGGGGGGGAATTCACCACTCAATTCCTCTCAGGGGTCTGGTCTGCCCTGCTCCCTGTCATATCTCCAGGGGGGGATAGGCTACTAAAATAGGAAGTAAACACAGATTGGCTCACAGAACAGACAGGCAGGCACACGGCATGAGCAAATGCATGTATCCCAAGTCTGTCACCTATGTGGACGGGCTCTAAGAAAAGCGGTCATGGTCCAGAGCCACACCCTCGAGTCTCTGCAGAACTAGGCAGGTCCTGTGAGTGTGTGATACAGTGAGAACATGACACCATGAGCATGTCTGAAACCAGCCAGAGAGTGATGTGTGTAGTGGGGAGACCGGGGTAGCATTAGGAGACAGAAGGATCTGAGGGGTACAGAGTCACTAGTGGCCAAAGTCGAGTGTTGTACGGCAGGGGGCAGGGCAAGAGCAATTCTATGTTCAAAAGAAGCCTGGAATCTCAATGTTTTAATCTGATAGCATTCAGTTGTTTTATAGTGGCAACCACGTCACTTCAGAAACAGAGGGATCAGGTATGCTCACAGGCTGTAAGTTTCCCAACTGCATCCCCAAACCTAGGTGAGGGCACCATTCTGCCTAGGCTCCCCATGTGGTGGGAACAGCCCTAAGATCAATTATGCCTCCTCTCTGGCTGTACACGTTATAAAATAGTCTATATGTGTAATCATATCACTATAATCTAACTGTTACAAAACCTTGTGGGGTCGGCATTTTAACGGCATCTTCATACAATTCCACCAGGACATCAAGAGCCTAGAAGACGATGAGAAAAGGCAGGTGTGGCATGAGGCTGGCCCATCTGACTGTGACAGTGTCTCGGAAATGCATCCTGAATATTCACTCACTCCACATGAAAATAAGACAAAGTGTCTGAAAGACCCAAGGGACAGCTGCAGAGATTTAGTAACAATAATGCTTTGAGGGTTTATTTCGTTAATTAGAAATAGATGCATATGTGCACACGTGTGTTCATATAGTTGTGTGTATGTCTGTGTATGCACATTTGTTTGTGTATGTGTATATGTGTGTAGGCTTATCTATGTATCTGTATGAGTATATGTATATATGTGTGCACACTTGTCTATGTATTTATCTGTGTATATTTATCTGTATCTGTATGTATATGTGTGTGTGTATACTTGCCTGTGTGTCTGTGTGTTTATACTTAACTGTGAACCTCTGTGTGTGAGACTGTGTGTGTATCTGTATGAATGTGTATAAATATGTGTATATACTTGTCTGTGTGAATGTGCATGTGTGTATACTTGTCTGTGTATCTCTGTGTGTGTAAAAGAGAGAGAGAGAGTGTGTGTGTGTATGTGTGTATACTTGTCTCTGTACGTATCTCTACCTGTAACTCTCTCACTAAGAACTTCATCGGGGATGCTGGTTTCATGGTCCTCAAAGGCCGTGAGGACCTTTGCTAGTATGGCCAGGATCTGCCTACAGATCACCTCTCTGACCGCCTGCAGCTTCACCCTGCAGCCTCATCTTGCCCACAAAAGACAGGAGATGTAGCTTAATTTGTCATGTCCAGTAAAGCCAAAGGGACACGGGTATTTAGTGCTGCCCAGAGTCTAGCCCAGTCAAACTTCCACTCCCTGGTCTCCTGCTGAAATTCCCTTTGCTCTTTAAGCTCACAAAACTGGACCCTGTGCGCTGTGCACTAATCAGGGACAGAAAGCATCTCTCACAGCACCGATTAACACAAACTGCTGAGCCTGCATTCCGGAACTGTTGCACAGAGCAGTACAGTTGTCACAGCCCAGCAGCCTAGCAGTGTTTATTCAACACTGGTGCTGGCCTTCAGGAGCCAGCTGGGACCCTCAGATTCCTTGCCTTCAGTCCTCTTGGGCTCTACAACAGAAAATAAAGCCCAAATTGCTGGGACTCATAGGGAAAGGCTAATTCCCAACACATCTGAACTGGAGATGTCTGTGAGAGATGAGTTAGTGTTTTTCATGATGTACTGTGGCCTTCCCCGAGTATGAATACCTAGGCCCTGGTGTCCTACTAACTGGATAACAGTAAATAGGGAAAGGCATCTTTCAACACACAGTGCACAAGATGCATGTCTTTTCACAAACCTTGAGACAGCCAGAACCCATGAGCAGTCTTCTCAGATACAACAGAAGGGCCTCTGCAAGAAAGTAGCTCTGTCTGGTCAGAAGCTCAGCCTGGAAGTTCTGGTGCATCCCACAAACAGTGGAAATCAGCCTGGCTGTAGCATCACTGTGGGAGTGAACGCCCCAGATGCCTTACTGCATACTGCTTTAAAGAGCCCCAGTGGAAAGAAACTCTAATTTTGTCCCAGCAAATTATCCAGACTCAGACAAGGGCTTCTCAAATGAGATTCTCAAATGTACCTGCGGGGATCCACAGGCTTTTTCCTATGGCTTCTCACCTGGGACTTGCATGAAGAGAGTATATTAGAAACACTATCATCACCTTCAACAGTACCTGGAGACATGGAAAACCATAGGGCTTTGTGCCACGATCACTCTAACTGCAAAGACAAGGATGACACTTGGAGCAGACTGACTGTCACTGATAAGGCACCATCTCAAGCACTGCCCACATATGCTAAAGGCACTTGCTGCCACACCTGCTGACCTGAGTTGGACCGCTGGGACCCACATAGTGGAAGGAGAAAAAGCAACTGCAAGTTGACTTACATTGTGGTACACACACACACTTTTTAAAAGGTAATAATTTTTTTTTTTTTTTTGGTTTTTCGAGACAGGGTTTCTCTGTGGCTTTGGAGCCTGTCCTGGAACTAGCTCTGTAGACCAGGCTGGTCTTGAACTCACAGAGATCCGCCTGCCTCTGCCTCCCAAGTGCTGGGATTAAAGGCGTGCGCCACCATCGCCCCGGCGGTAATAAAAATTGGTCTGAAAAAGCCTGGGTTAAAACCGGTCTCACTGAACATAGCGGACAATGAGGACTACTGAGACCTCAAGAACAATGGCAATGGGTTTTTGATCCTACTGCACGTATTGGCTTTGTGGGAGCCTAGGCAGTTTGGATGCTCACCTTACTAGACCTGGATGGAGGAGGGTGGTCCTTGGACTTCCCACAGGGCAGGGAACCCTGATTGCTCTTTGGGCTGACGAGGGAGGGGGACTTGACTGGGGGAGGGGGAGGGGAAGGGAAGGCGGCGGTGGGGAAGAGACAGAAATCTTCAATAAATAAATAAATAAATAAATAAATAAATAAATAAATAAATAAATAAATAAATAAATAAATTTTTAAGCACAGTCCTGGACAGAGACCATCAAGGACGCTCACTCACACAGGTCTCCCAAAGTGCAGGGTGGAATTTGCATTTCAGCACCACCGACAGCTCCTAGGTACCACCTGCTCCACAAGCTCCAGACACTGCACAGAGCAACTGGCTCCCAACTTCCAAAGAAGCAAAGGAAGCAGAGCTTGGTGTGGTGTCCAGGAGTATTCCCCCCAACAGGTACTCACACAAAGAAGGGCACCAGCTGCACCAGGGTCTCTTTCTTGGGGTTGGTAGCAAACTCAGGCACCATCTGGATGACCTTGTTCATGATGCTGCGTAGGTAACTCTGGAGCTGCTTTCGTCGCTCCTCCACGAACTTGGCGTCCTAGGAAGGCAGGTAGAATGTGCACTCAGTATGGTTGTGTCATCAGCTCAGAGCGGATCTTGTCCAACACGCACCCATCAGGCAACAACTGTCAGAGGCTGTGGAGTACAGCTCAGTGGTGGAGCACTTGTCTCGTGTGTGCATGGTGCTGGGTTCAATCACGGCTGTGCACAACTGGTCTCCACGGCTTTACGTGTGCTATGGGAAAGATGTCTGGATGCTATTTTTATCAAGCATAGGAAAGGCAGGTCCAATACCTGTGTACAGTGTGCTCCCACAAATGAGTGAGCGAATGAATGAATGAATGAATGAATGAATGAATGACTAGGTGTGGCTGTTGTTTCTTGGTGTCACAATATTCCCTCTTTCTGGGCTCAGTGCCGAGAGGAGACGGCTGTGGGGGAGCAGGGACTCGCAGCCTCACAGTCTGCTGGATCACACAGCAACTGAGGAAGCAGCTGCCTAGAGCAGAGCTCACCCTCGCCATCGGACCACAGGAAGGGGCCCTCTCCCCAGGGGCTCAGACTCACTCTGTCCAGTGTGACTGTGTGTTAGATGGTACTGAGGAAGCCTCCTAGTGCCCTGCTCTCCAGCAGAGAACTCCGCATAGGCTGGGGTGAGAGAGCACGAGTGGACAGATGCCTGGTACCAGAAGAGTGACATCTTAAAAGTCCACCCCACATAGAAGAGCGGGCCCTGCAGTAGTGGACATGTGTAGATGCAGATAGTACTGCAGTTTTTCTGAGACTACAGTTTTACAGAGCCCTGTGTGTTCTCTGGAAAGTCTCCTTCAGGAATTGTGTGGGAGGAAGAACCAGAGAGACTCTGCTAACAGGGTTTCCCTGGCCCTATAAAGGCAGCAAGGTTTTCTTGTCCAAAGCCATGCCACAAGTTGCCACAGCACAACTCCAGTCCCGTGGGTTGGATGGTCACTTCCAGCACTGCCCCTGGTCAGTGGCTGAAACCTCCTCAGCCTGGTAGGATCAAGGCAGCAAAGGATCTTCCAGCCCTAGCCGGAGCCACTTGGACTATGCTCACTGGGTCTGGATGCTGGATTCTGCTCCTTGGTGTCCACACTTAACACATCAAGTGATTAGATGTTCATTCCTGACAGGGTTGATGGGAATGGGCCTGGGTTTTAATTTGCATGAGAAACCTCTAAGGCCAGCTTGAAAGGCTCTACAGCAAGAAGATGGGAAAGGTGCTGTCAACCCTGGGGGCAGGGGGTGATGTGGAGGGCTCTGGGCTTGGACAGGGATAATGGGCACTACAGCCACAGGAGGTCAGAGATGGCAAGTGTCCCACGTGGAAGCCAGAGGACACCCCCTGCCAGCAGTCTGGCCTGCCCTTGTGTCACCTGAATAATGAAGGTCTCCTTTCACCGAGGTCCTGCAGGCAGTCATGACTTGGCAGATAGGGTCTCACCTGGAGGAACCCCCTTTCCTAGTACCATTCACACTGAGAGCCAGTACTGAGGAACCCATGCTGTTTTGATTACAGAAAATCAAACTGAGCAGCAACCATTGTCTAATAGAGAGAGAGAGAGAGAGAGAGAGAGAGAGAGAGAGAGAGAGAGAGAGAGAGAGAGAGAGAGTAAAAACCTTGGGTGTCCACCTTATTTCTGAGACAGAATTTCTTACCTAGAGCTCTCTGACTAGGCTGGCTAGCTGACCAGTGCACCCCAGGGATCCTCCTGTCTCTCTCTCTCTGCCTCCCCAGTGACGGGATTACAAACATGCGTCATCATGCCCGGTTTTTCTGTTTGTCTGTTGTTGTTTTAAGGCTAAGGTATTTTTCCTTTTACTTGGTGTTTTCATTGAATTCAGACCTCAAGCTTGCATGATAAACACTTTCCAGAATGCACTACCTCCCCAGGGAGCAAGAGCACCCCTCGAGTCTTCCTTGTATCCCATGCTCCCCATGAGCTGCATCCTTAGGACACAACCAAGGCTGGTGACAAGAATGATGGGAAGAACCAGCCCCAGGTCCTAAACTAAATGGCAGCTTAGCAGAGAAAGGGGTCTTAAAGGTGCAATTTCAGACCCTCAACTCAACACAACCTCCAACCTGCAGAGGCAAACTCTCCTAACCTTCTCTCTCTGACAGTCACCTGTATTCACTTCGCAGAAATCCCACTTCCTCCTTGGCTTAAGCAGAAGCCATGGTATATACACAGAGGGATGCCTATCAGCTCAGTACCAAGGCAGTCTGCCTGGCTTTTGACCTTGAGCCCTGAACTGCTCCCAACAGTTTTTGCTTTGGTCCTCAGCCTGAATCTCCATACTCCACGGGGACACAGGCAAAGGAGAGACTGCTCACAAGCAACGTGGGAAGGCCATGCCATTCCTCTCTGTAAACAGTGGTGGGTTTACTTTATTATGAACAATGGCAAGTTCTCAATAGCTCCTCATCAGTTGTTTCGTCATTCCGGCCTTTTCATTAGATGAGCTGTGACACTACAGGACTGAAGCCAGGGCCGCACGCACACTAGGAAAGGGTTCCGAGCTGCACCCTGGCCCATATTAACACAGCTGTAGCTGGCTGTGGTGGTGCACTCCTGTTATCCCAGCACCTGGGACGTGGAAGCAGAAGGATCGGGAGTTCAAGGCTAGCCTTGGTTATGCAGCAAGTTTGAGGAATGCCTGTGCTACATGAGACTCTATGTCAAAAACAGGACAATAAAATAAGGAATAAACAATTATAGCCACTTGATACTTCATTCTTAAATACTTAATTTAACAAATAATTCTAGAAAATTAGGACATGTTCCTATTTAACCAAACACCATGACTACTGTCAACAAAGAGGATAGCGTGTCTGCAGTGCTGAGGTCCACATTTCAAGAGCTGCTTCTGGAGCTTTCCTTGCTGTCTGACTTTGTCTTGACACAGGTTCACATTTGTATTCCAGGCTGGCCTTAAACTTGTGATCCTGCTGCCAGGGTTGCAGGTGTGCACCAGCATGCCTGGCTGCTCTTGCAATGTAAGATGCCAAGGCTAGATGTCAGCCAGAGGCTGAAGGGGGCAGTGTGGACAGTGGTGTCAGACCTCATGTAGAAGTCAGTCTCCACCATTCTTACCACAGGACAAGGCTGGACCCACAGGCATGTTTTACATGGACTGAGCAGTGTTTGAAAAGACTAAAGCAGGTGATTTCTTTAAACAAAAGCAGATCCTTAACTTCCCTTTCATCCCAGCAGCCCTGTGTTCTTGTCTTACTCACTCACCTGCCATCATTGGTGTTCTCCCTCCACCCCAATCACATAGGTCTAGTTCAGCCTTCATCACAAAATGCTCACACAGTGTCCAAGGATAACATGAGCCTTGAAAAAGCATGCTGGTTGAAATAACAAATACATGTAGGAAGGGCAGACTGGTGGCCAGAGAAAGCTGCAAGGAGGCCACAGGCCACAAGAGAATACACAGATCCCAAAAACGGTGGGTGGTGAAGGCCAGGCTGACCTAGAAACAAGCCCTTGGTTCTAAGGGCTTCTGGACAGGGGAGCATAGGACAAAAGACCAGTATGTCAGTGAGCTGGTCCTTCAGAGCCTGTGTGTCATCCAAGGTACCTGGGGTGGTATCACAGGCACACGTCACTTCTTAAAGGTCCAAGAAATTGGGGAACTCTGACTGGGCTCCTGGGGTGGCAGCCAACTTGCAGATTAGAAGGGATGGGGCTGGATGTAAGTCTGGCATATAACCTGCCAGGCACCTCTGGGGACCACGTCTTTGTCTGGACACCATTGTCAACTGTGGGCAGAGAAAGCCAGGGTGCACACCGCAGTTTTGATGGGAGCATCCATCCCTGCAGAAGAGGTCCATTAGGCACAGCTCTTAATGAGGGTGGATGCTGTAAGATGAAGCTTGAATACATGCTTGGGGTCCCCCCCATTTCAAGGTGGCTCTGACAGGGATCTTCGCTATAGGGAAAGCTCCACCCTCCAGCAGTACCTTCCCCAAGGGCAGAAGTCGCTGCACTCCCTGGCTCCCTTATGCTCTTATCAAGCACAGCATGGCACCTTCTGAGAGCAGCAGACAGGCCAGTCCCTGCTGAGAGGCAGCAGCTTCACAAGTGGTAGATCCAAAACAGGCCACTGGCTAGAGAATGTCAGAGCCTTGAGAGAGCCTCCCTGAATGGTCTTCCTGTGCCCATTCTGGTCCCCACCGTGGCACTAGCTCACTTAGCCATCTCTGCCTCCTGGCCTCACTTTATTAGACCAGCACCACAGGCAGGTTATGGCCAACACAAGGTGAAAGGACTGAGGCTTCATGAGAAGGGGGCTGGATCCTGGGGAGAAGGCCCATTACTCCAGGTGGTGCCCCAAGGCTCCCATGCTATCTACCACACCTATAGTTCACATCTAGAGAGCATGGTGCTAGCATTTGAGACCAGATACGGAAGGCTACAACACTCACTCCCAATCTCCTGAAATGTGTGCAAACATATTTACTTAAAGGAGAATGAAAATCAACACTGCTAAAGACAGCAAGCTGAGCACAGGCTCAGCGGGGATTTGACAAAATTCTTTCCACAGCTGAGCACGCCCATCTTACAGGGAGGACACAGAGGTGCTGAGACACAACAAGATCACACCGTCCATGGTCTTCATGGAGCTGGAATTTGAACCAGGTCCCCTGACACTCCTAAAGAGAGGTCAAGGGATGTACTGAAGACCTACAGCCAGCTGCCCCATAACCTGCAATATGGCTTCTCTCATCACACACATGGAAACTGATGAGTAGGCTGGGAGCATCCTGGTCAGGTTCTGACAGTCCCTGGGTAAATGCTGCCTGGGACAGCAGGAAAAAGGGCATGTTTGAGAGGACACCATAGTCCCCAAAAGCTGAGCTTAATAGCAAACACCATCTGCCTGACTTCTACAGCCACCATGCTGCCCTGCCTTTGCACACACCAGAGTAGACCTGCGGCTCTGCCAAGAACAGAAATAAGAGACCATCTGACCCTGTGGTTCATACAGGGTGAACCACATACCACAGTT